CCTCGTGAGAATTCCACATTCTACCTAAAACTAGCTTTTTAAAAATTCTCTTGTCTGTTGTCCAAGTTCGACACATATACGTTTGAGAAGGTATTCGAGAAAGTTCCCAATGTTCCCCTTCCTGTGATTTATATTTTACGTTTATTATATCCCCCGCCTGAAAAGTGGGAGGTAATCGTTATGTCCGTTCGTCTGTCTGTTACGCTTTGGGGTAACCATCTCTCATCCGCAAATCCTCTTACACCACTTAGAGAAATTTAATGAAACTTTCAAAGAATCCTAAGTTTATTACATATTACCATTATGCACCTCCTGTTTTACTTTTTGATCTGACGCGTATGGGTTTAGCGAAATGTGGATTTGCCATTATAACCATATGAGAGGCAGGGGGTATCATTTAGTGAGTTCATTGCTCATAATACATGTACGTCTAGTTTCTGTTTCAATTTTGGCGTTTGGGTTAATTTCCTGTCCAAAGTAAAATTATTATTCAATTTATGAAGTTTCGACATCCCGCCTGAAAAAAACTCCTTGATCTGTCCTAAGGCATAATAAATGGTACAGCTCAAAGTGCGTAGGATTTTATACCTATCATTGCCCCAACGGGTGGTTACAGAGAGAGAGAGAGAGAGAGAGAGAGAGAGAGAGAGAGAGAGAGAGAGTTCAATATACAAAAGAATAAGTAATATTTATCCGTATTCAACCAGTGTCAAGTATCCCTACCCTAGCTTTTAAAATTATCTTCCAAATTCACCTACAGAAATTATTTATATGTATAAAAAAAATACCTAGACTATCAGGCAGGGTTCTGAAATCTCGAAATATTTCCTGTAACAACATAATTATAAAACAGTTACATTCCTCAAAATGCACATACTTTGTGGTCGGAGTGACACATTTTTAAAAAATCTCAAAACTGAATTCGGCAGAAATGTCTGTCTTCCAAGAATATTTAAATAACGGTCATATCAATTATTTTTGTATGCCCCCCCCCCCCCCCGTCCAAAAAATCAAATGCCTAAATGTCAATCTGAACAGGGGTGGCCTTTCTCCGTGTGTGTATGTGTTAAAGAATGTATAGATATACACATAAAAATTTGTATTCTGGTTAAATGCTTTTAAGATTTGAAGTAAATTATAGCCGTACATCAAATTACTTTGTTTAGATTTGAGATTAGTACTAAAATAATCAGTTATAATTGACAAATGAATTTTGCGACGCAAACCAACTGCAGACTATATACATGACTTGGTATAGAATGTATATTAGAACTACATGTAGATAAACAATTCACAATTATAGCTTATGAACATCAGTTATAATACCCCCCCCCCCCTTTTCAGCCGCGCAAATACCAAATAACTTCTCTTTCCACTTTTGATATTTTCCCTGACCAAAATCTGATCAGCACGGACTAAGTGTATCGTCTTGCTAGTGTGTACGGAGTAATGACAGTGTGTTACTATTGAGCTTTTATGGAGTTTATTTCTTTTTTGTTATGCATATTTCAATAAATGGAATTCAGGGTGTATTTCACTTGACTTGTGCACATCTTCGAACCGATGCAGTAACCTTATTACCAGGTATGGGTACGTTTACAGCGCTCGAGGCGTTTTCTCGATATGCATCAGTTGCATAGGACCTGCAAATCAAAGACGTTGGTTGTTTCGTTCCATTCAAATGATAATAATGTCAAAATGTGTTTGCAAAATTTACTGCTTTTTATTTCAAGTTTATTCTGCATAAATTGGCGCACTGTAAAACGTATTCATGCATCTAAATTTCTCTTACAAACTTGCATTTTTTTTTCTTTTGATTCAAATCAATAATCATTCAAAAATATGATTATTATGTTGTTTATTTTGTTTTTGAAATGTCTTGATCACCTCATGTGTTCTCATATGCTTTACCATCGGAGATGTGCACAAGTCGATACCCAAGCCAAAAAATCATTCAAGTGTAACGAGCGCATTGGGGTATACATCGTTACAATGAGACAAGGTATCTGAAAGAAATATGGCGGAATACGGCTATAGTTGGTATGAAACAAGTCGTACATAGATGAAAATGTTGCGTTTTTAAGAATTCATGTCAGCTTTAATGTATAAAATAAATCAACTTAAAGGGACCTTAGAACCCCCCCCCCTCCCCAACCGAAAATGTGGATTCATGTTAAGTTGGTATGAAAAATGTCATACACATGAAGGTATGACGTGTAACAGGAAAGGAGAAAATGCATGGCTGGACCGGGAATCGAACCCGGGACCCCTGTATCTCTAGTCAGGTGCTCTACCAACTGAGCTATCCAGGCCGATATCCACGGCCCGAACCATTACAGACGCATAAGAACCCCCTCTCCCCGGCCGAAATAAATTTTCACATTTAGGAAAGGACTTTACGTATTTTTTCTTGTTAAGAAATTTCTGGGTTGGATTTTTTTTTTACCAGAGTGACCCTCTTGGAAAAAATGCAGAGTTTTTGAAATCCACCGGTCCCACCGGCAAAACTGGTAAATATTTCAAAAGTCCGTTAATTTTCTTCATGTAATCGGTCCGAGGGACCGGTAAAAAATTGGATCTCTCCGGAATTTTAACCTCTTAACATGTAAATTTTAAGTTTATTTGTGAGATTGTCAAAAGGATTGAATCTGTGTGTATGAAAGAATAAACTCAAGGGCTTTTACGACAGTTATAGTCATGATTTTTTTTCTGCCATATCTGTGTTTGTTCAATCAAGCAGCTGATTCAATTTGTACAAAAATGTTAATTGTAGCTTTATTTGGGGTGCAACATATGTCAACCGAATTGCTAATCATCATTTACCTTAAATACGAAGAGTTTTAAAATAATTATTATTGTTACAATAAACATTCCCCCCACATTTTGAACTTCGTTTTTTGCGGTAGGCAGCCATGTTTGGTATCTACTGTAAATATCACACCTGGTAAAAGTGGTTAATTCAGTCCGGGGATATTTGACCCTATGGATTTTTAAAGGCCTAACTGGAATTAAACATTTTTTTTTTTTAATATGTTTTTGTTGATGGATCAGTGAATATTTGTGTGGACCGGTGAATTTCACTAAATCACTGGTCCAATTCACCAGTGATTTTTTTTTTATTTCAAAAACTCTGAAATGTCCTATATATCCGCGCCTTTTTTTTGAATTTACATAAATATTAATATAAAAATAAAATTTATGCAAATATGTGTGGCAGTTGGCAGTAAGCAGCTGACAGTTGGCAGTCAGCAGTTGGCAGTAAGCAGTTGGCTGTCGTATATGGCATTCCATACTCCCTGGAAATGTTACGAAAACACTTTTAAAGTATCCAAAACATTGAATATAAACATATTTTACAAATTTTGCGAGAACATTTTCCTGCATGTAGATTAAACAAAATACATTATACTTTAAAAAAACAAAACATAAATGGTATAAACGACATGATTTCATTTGATATCGTTTCAAAAATATTTTATCTATTTTATGTGGCTAGGTGGAAATTTAATAAAAATAAAATTTAAGTTGACCTGTTAACTTTGTCATTTCTTTTAAATCTAAAATGTCTTTTACACACTTTAACAACGTACATGTAATATGAAAAAAAAATAATATTTGCAAATTAAATAATATTTATTATTTATTTACAGTATCATTGACAGTGTGTCATGTACCTGATTATGTAATACCACATAACATTACGCACTGGTCGGGTATGTACGAATAACGATAATTTAGTTTCAATGAGATTTGTAGTCTGTGTATTCACAGTAAACATTAATTCAAAAACAACAACTCGTAAAATGTAAAGTTTTATTATGGAGAGAAAAAAAGTCTTAGAAAGAAAAACGCGACCGGGGTCTTCACACAGCAGTTTCGATTGTCTCCCGGTGGCTTTAATTCTACAAACTCTCGTATCAAACACTATATAGAATAAACATGATAAATAAAATACATAATTCTAAAATATATTTTTTGAATTAAATTTTGGTTAATCAAATACTTTATAAGGGTAATATATCATGTATATCAAATACTGTAATAAGAAATTAAGGAGACAACATCGCGAGCGTTTGATTTTCTCGGCAGGCGTGCTCCATGCCGCATGCAAACTTTAATTTTAAAACTAACTAAAAACTCCAATCTTTGCTTCTTTTAAAAATTATAAATTGTGTATCAAACTGAGAAATTATAATGTATAAACATAAAAACACAAGTAAACAAGTTTTATTTCATTTCCTTAACAAAACATATGGAAGTCCCGAAACGTGTTCGCCCAAGTCCCGAAACGTGTAGTCTCGTTCAACCAGACCCTCGGCTGTCTCCGTAAATCTCCGACCACCCAGAGGGTCTGGTAAAGATACGTAATATCGTTTGTAACGCCAAAACGAGGCTTACCGAAATTCTGGTAAAGTTTTTGATTGGCTGAAAAGAACACACCTCCATGATTTAAACAAATACATGGTAAATCGACAGAAAAATAACTTAAAGTTTTAAAAGTTAAATGTCTAAAGGTTAAAGCAGATAAAGAGGAATAATTTTATTGTTTACGGTAATGTCAACGGGTTAAAGGTAAGTGTGCTTTATAAAATGTCTTGCATTTTTTTTATTTCCGGAAGTTAAAGTGAAAGTAGTGCAGCTACCTGCGGAATACATATTTCTTCGATTGATATTGTAATTACTCGTTTTATGTCCAAAATTAAAGATCAGTTTATCAATATAAACTCACAATCTAACAGAAGAAACATGTTAAATATTCCTTTCAAAAAAAAGGTCATCAAAACATAAACAAGATAGCGCCCTCTGATGGTAACAAACGCTTATGTGACTCTTTACCAGACTCTCTGCTGGTCGGAGTTTACGGAGACAGCCGAGCGTCTGGTTGAACGAGACTACGAAACGTGTTAACCCAAGTTGACAGGTCCCGAAACGTCGGGGTCCCGAAACATCGCGGTCCCGAAACATCCAGAATTCTTTCGGATCTCCTCTGAGTTTTACCAATTAAGACATGAAGCAAAAGATTAGGCTGTGGATCAACATGAAAGTGAAATTCTTCAAATAGTTATCAGTAATTTAGTCGTCCTATGAATTATTGATTGATCTATATCGACTATGTAAGAAATTTGAGCTAGGATTTGTATCATTAAAACATTTACCTGGAGATTTATCCAAAGTCGTGATGAAAACAAGATATTGACAGGTGAGCGATTTTTTGTAATTGCATTCTCCATTTTGTTTACCTGTAGTTTACTTCTTTATCTAGTGGTTGAAACTTTGAATGTCTACAAATAAAGTATCTGTTTCCAGCTAATGGATATTGCTGTACTTAATAAGATGATTTTTAGACTTTTAACTTCTTTTTTCCAAAATGTTGCTGCAGAGTTATAAACTTGTGTGTTCAAAAGTATTTTGATGACTGTGAATCTGTCACTGAATTTTCAACATCTTTGTTCTGGATTTGTAGAAATGGCCTCGTATAAGGGACATCCTGGGTATGGGAAACCTGTCCCTGCCCCCAGACAGGCCTCCTCCCCTATGTCTCCTCAGTACGCTGAAACTCACCGCCCCCTACCCTCACAAATAATGGCAGCCGCTGCAGCGGGGATGTCCGTATCAGGAAAATCTGGCTCAATGTCCGACGCCAAAGCCAAGACAGTCCTCAAAGAAGCTGTGGATGCTGTTGTCAACAGTTTTGCTAAACATTCTTCTGGATATGGTCGAGGTAATACTACAGTGCATTCTACTTTAGTGACATGTTTCTGTAGTCACAGTGGTGGTTTAGATGGGTATTTCTCAGTCACAGTGTTAACTTAAACAGTCATGCAAACAATTAGCATGGCCTGATTTAAAGGGATAATACTTAAAAATAATCAGTTTTATTAGTCTCTATGCAAAAGAAATAAATAAATAAATAAAACACATTGAGATCAATAGGTAATATTTTCATAATTGAGGTTAAATTGCCTGGTATTAATCCATCTTTTGAAATGTATAATTCTAATTATTTTATTACTGAATAAGTGTGAATTACTTTTGTAAATTCAAAATATTTTCAAAGATCACCATCTTACTTTTTAATTTTTTTTTTTAAAAGTTGTCTCAAAATTACTACCCCCCTCCCTTCTCCCTTCCTCAAAATGGAGGAAGTGTCCTGTTAAAGAGATTGCATGGGCATGGTTAACATGAAAGACAAATAGATTATTTTCTATGTGGTTAGCAGTTTTGTTTGGTTGCTTGGTTTATAGTCCATTATGCTCTCTTTTTTTACATGACCTAGTTACATTGAGACCAGGAGAGAGTTTTTCAATGCATTTTTGCAAACTGATAAAGTTTATGTTATTGTTAGACTTTCTTATATTCAGCATTCCAGCAGATTCAATTGATTGTTTTTATATTTAAATGTTAGTATACTATAATTTAGCAGTGTATATTTCTATGTTGTGAGTTAATTTATTCTGTACAATCTGCTGGATATGTCTCATTCAATTTTTGTGGTACAGAATGTAGGGATAGGTCAAATTAAGACCTCAGAACTTGTGCCAAATCCCATTATATATATTACCGGTAATTGGAATGAAATATGTTCAGACCATATACAGTATATTATTGATTTCAAGTTATCAGAATTGCTTTGCAATACATTAACATACACAGTGAATCATGTTAATATCGAGCCTGGTAGATCACTGATTCATATCAGGTGGAGAGAATTCATCTCTTCCTCCAGGTGAACAAGGTTTTCTTCAGGTAGGAAATGCAAATTCAAGGCAGCTCGTATCTCATGAAAGTATATGGTTCAAATTGACTGTAGAATTTATTGTTTATTTGTTTTTATTAAGATTTAATGATAGGGCTAAACTTCAAATCATGTAATCATCTTGATTAGAACTGGAAATATAATCTATCAATTTTTTTTTAGTTATATATGATGGTGATTCTTCCGAGCTACTAGTATCAATTACAATTAATAGAAAAATAGTCAAATTTAACGGAGATTTACAAAAGCTGATTTAAAATTAAAATGTGTGTGTATTAAGATTAATTGGAGATCAGAGGTTGTAAGTTAAATTGCTGCAAGAAGAAATGCAAATTAAATGTGACTAAATTCGTGAAGTTTATAATGCGCCTCTTGTTAAATTGCATTCATCAAACCTGCACAGGTTCCTCTGGTTGGGTTTAAAACTTCTCAGTGTGTTATGTAATAAATATTGGCTGTTTTTATCGAGTTCTTGGAAGTGCATCTCTTGATACCTGTTTATGTGTCTGAAATAACATGTATACCCACTGTTTCCATTTTAACAATTATTTCTCAAACCCTCATGCTTTATTGTCACATTTTAGGTCATAAACGGCCCCATTTACTGCTGCTTTATCACTAGAGAAGTGTTCAGAAGTGGGCATGCAAATACTTTGATAAGCCATTAATGTATTTGACTTAATTTGTTTCCTTTTGACATAAGGAGGTTAGAAACTTTTTTGGCTTAGTTCCCACTGCCTGAAACAACAAAGGTATATAAATGATCTCAATGTTATCTGAAGAATATTTAATTCACACAATTTTTTTTACCAACTCAGAAAAAATAGATCAATTTTACCCTTTGTTCAGTGAAGTAAAATATTCATAACTAAGTTGATTAGGTAAAACTTTTCACAAGTGGTTCTCTAAAACTAGAGAGGGCCATGAAATGGTAATTCAACAGGACAGAAAGATAAAAATGGTGAATTAAAGGCCAATCTGGATTAGAAAACAAGGATTAAGGACAGGAAAAGTAAAAGAAATGACCAGTTGATTTTGTTTACCACCCTGTCACAATGGGGGACAAAAGGCTGGCAGTAAGGACAGATTTCTGATCATTCAGTGGATTATAAACCATGCTTTATTGACATACATTTGTTACAGATTTACAGGCTGTTTACTGAAGCCCAGATTTACTGGGATTTAATTGGAAATTTATTTCTCCAGACATAATAAATAGATATTGATACAGAAACATAAATATTGTAAAGATCAGAGTGTGTAGGCTGAAAGATACAGGTGTGGGAAAAATTCTTCACAGGTGTACCAGTAGTTCAAAATTTGTATATGCTACCGGCTTATTTTTATTAAATTATGTTTCACACTGTTCTGTGATTGATTTATTCTGCAGTATTCGAATCTATTCGGCTGACTTCCCTGACAAATCTCATGCAGGTATATAATCTGTCTTGACTTAATGATGGAACACAGGTGGAGAGAAAGAACAATTTTACAACATTAATCTTTAGTTTCATATCAATCACTGCAGAAAGGCTACCTCAGAAAATACTCCTACTTAATCATATGCATACATGTATGCATGCAGCATATATCTCAAAATGCATGAGAAGTAACTAGGGTTGGTTGGAGAGAGAGAGGGGGGGCACAGGTTGTAAATACGAGGGTTGATCCAAAAGTTCGTGGAATTTCTTCATAATTATTTTATTTCTGGATGGAAATAATTAAAATTTTCAGGTAATAATGTATACACTTGATGAATTTTCTTAATAAAAAAATATTTTAAAAAACATTGAAAAGAAGAATTTGGCAGTTGCCATAGAAACGGATGTTTGAAAAGGCGGGGGAGACATTTATTTGTTCATTATCATTTAATTTTTATCAAAGATTTTAATCGAAAAAAGGCGCTAAATATCACATGCAACAAAAATTACGTCATAATTAAGATTAATTGAATTCTTTTTAATCGTTGTAAGAAAGTTTTATCGATTTTCCTGGATATTTACCCATTTTACTGATGATTTGTTATTGATCATGACAACGGTAGAAAAAGTCGAAATTCGATCAGTTATCAAGTTTTGTGAAAATTTGGGGAAAACTCCGACTCAGACACATAAATTAATGACACAAGCAGGACGAAAATGCAGCAAACAGTTAGTTTTCAAGTGGCATAAGAGATTTAAGGAGGGGAGAACTTCTGTGGAGGAGGATGAGAGGTCTGGCCGCCCGGTGGAAGGTCGCATTGTCCTCGCGGAAAAAGTTAGGGCGTTATTGGAGGTGGACCGCCGACGCACCGTGCGTGACATTGCCGCTATAATTGGTTCGTCCTACGGAACAACAGAGCGCATTTTAAAAAATGAACTAAACATGAACAAAGTAAGTGCAAGATGGGTTCCCAGGCTTCTTTCAAAGGCAGAGATGGAGAATAGGGTTCAATGTTCCTTAAAATTTCTAAAACGCTTTGAACGTGAGGGCGAGATGTTCCTTGATAGAATTGTTACATTGGATGAAACTTGGCTCTACCATTACTCCAAGAAGCAGTCCTCTGTATGGAAAACTTGTGAGAGAGATGGATCGGCGTGGAATGATCCTTATTCATCAAGTGCCGGAAGGACGATCTGTTAATGCAGCCTACTACTCTACGGTTTGTGTTTAATGTTAATAATGATTAAATTTATTTAATTTTAAAGCTAATAGTTTATGTTTTAAATTAAATAAAAATGATCTAATTTAATAAAAACATAAGATTATGATTATTCCAAATATAAATTACATGTATATGATAAAGAAAAAAAATTAATAAAAAATGAATGACAATGTGTTTTCTTCCGCAATGCTGCCCGAACTCAAACTTAAAGTTAATGAATTTTTCTTTATTTCCCAGACGTTGAGGACGCATCTCATACGTGCTTTGAGAAAAAAGAGACCGGATAGAGACATTGAGGATTTAATACTTCATCAAGACAATGCTCCGTCCCATACAGCTCTGGAAACACAACTTGAAATTGATCTTTTGGGATTTCAGTTTCAGTCCTGACCTCGCACCTATGGACTTCCGTAAGTGAAAGAAAAACTTTTCAGACCGTTGAAGATCTGAAAGCAGCAACCTATGGAATTGTTTTGAAGTTTGGTACTGATTGGTACAAAGAAACATTTGATATGTGGGTAAAACGACAAAGGAAATGTGTGAAAATCGGCGGAGACTACCTTGAGAAGGTTTAAACCATGAGCTAATGTAAAACGTCACCGAACGCGACGTGAAATACATACTTTCACGTAACGTCAAAGTCTCCCCCGCCTTATACAACGATCTATTTTTATAAAGCTCTTGTGACTTTAAAAGTTATCAGAACTTTACTAATTTTTCAAATTTTATTGCTTTTTGACTCTATTTTACAGATATGTCTATTGTTTTTGTTTATCTCATCATAATAAATTTTTAGAAATAAATTCCACGAACTTTTGGATCAACCCTCGTACATGTACTTGATAAGCCAGCTGATATGATTTATGGTCATTTGAACAAATGTTAAGACTGTAAATTGTTATGTTTATTGCCATTGTATGCTTATGGTGCAATTTGGACTGATCAGCCCTGGTGATATTTAAAGTGTCAGTAATCTTGACTTGTATTTGAAGACTGAAGATAGGATAATTATGATATACATTTGTTAATTATCATAACCTGCAGTCAGAATTCAAACCATTGTCAGCATCACAGCACATTTCATTTACCTGATGTGCACTAGCTGACTTTAAAAATCAATAAGTTGGTAATGACATGACACTTTGAAAAAAAAATTCCATTCTTTATCAGATTACTGATAAATGTTTTTTCTAATTATGGCTAGATCAATATCTGAGTAATTTATTTTACAAGAATATGTAGGTGTCTCTGATTGTGTGCTTTTTTCAATACACGTCAGTGATTAAAAATTCAGCCACTGATGAATATTTTCCCAATAAATACAAGACAGAATGTGATGAAGTGGATTAACACCACAACATTTCTTCAAACCTTACCCAATATTTAATTTCATAAATGAATAGGCTGAGTTATTCAGTCATTAAAGCTATCCTGAGGGAAAAATGCCATCCCTTGCATGTCCATTCATTATGCAGTTATCGCAGTATCAGAGATTTTCACCTGTCTGTATACATAACTGGTTATCCTTGGGTGCATCTTTTCAAGGTGATTTCTAGAGACACTGAGGAATGCAGGAAATTCCTCTTTGTGATATAAGTTTCTATTGCAAGTTTTTAAAATGCAATTATGACTGAGATTGTTTTGCATGACTTAATTTTGGTCTCTCCAGCCCAGACGAGATGTATTATTAACTCATAAAAAAGCAACAGAGGATCAAAGAAAGAATGCTAGTTTCAATACATGTTCATCAATAAAAATTTAGAATTTACTGTTATCAGACTTGAATATTTAATCATGGTTATAATGGCAGGTTATCAATGAAAATATCTTTCATAGTAGAATTATTGTTCTGTATAATTTATTATTTCATCAACAAGTTTTAGTGATGACTCCTTGGTTCATGAAGGTTTACCTGTACAATAAACCAGAAACAAGGTCATTTTGACAGTTCATCACTGGAAAAACTGTGAGTTTGCATACAACACATACCCAGGTACAATACACACAAATATGCCTTGTAGTACATGTCCATTTTTGTGATGTTTCAGAAAAAGAAAAATATCTCCAACTTCTTAATTTTTATACTGGAAATTTTAGTAAAAACAAAATCAATGTAGAATCATGCAGTCAGATTTATTATAGGTTGCTTTCATATGGAAAATTAAACAATAAAATGTTATGATTTTCAGTGAATGTGGTGGAGGCCCTCCAGGAATTCTGGCAGATGAAGCTTGAGAGGGGGGCGGATCTGAAGAACGGAGCCCTGGTGGTGTATGAGTCCCAGCCCTCCAACTCACCGCCCTATGTCTGTTTTGTATCCCTCCCAGGGGGGAGCTGTTTTGGGAGCTTTCAGGTTAGTGTTGTACTTAATTATGCTTGTATTTTTTCAAACTGATTAAAAGTACATTTTTAACATTATAGTCACATTTAAAGTTACTATTAACAATATCATAAATTATACTATCAAGACATAAAATTTCAAGTGATTTTTTTTTTTTTAACAATTTTCATTCTATTCTTTTTGTATTTAATTCCTTCTTGAAATGATATCTCAATGTCATGGGGACCTTACAATTTACTTCAAAATATCAGTTATTTGTTATACCATGTATTGGTATTATAGTAAATTTGTAAAAGTATATAGTGTGAATTTGAATTATGCATATTTTTTTCCAAGTACTGTTAGGATCATTGATTAAATGTGTTATTTGGTTTAAATTCCTTTCAAACTGGCCAGCAGAAAATGCAAATAAATCGAAGGATTTCATTTTTTAAAGTCCCTGTTTTCTATTTTTAGCACTGTCCTACAAAAGCCGAGGCCAGGCGTAGTGCAGCAAAAATTGCCTTGATGAATTCCGTGTTCAATGAGCATCCCTCTCGGAAGATCTCAGATGAGTTTATTGAGAGAGCAGTACGAGATGCAGCGGGATCTTTCCAGGTAAAAGAAATGCTAGCTAAAAATGCCCTGAAAGGAATAATAGGTGCAAAATGTTGATTCTGAATGTTGGTGCCATGCTTGAGCACTGAAATGTAAAATTATGTTGAGTTCAGACATAAGATTTGGACATAAAATAGAGTGTGCCAAAACAATTAACACAATAAATACATGTGTAATTATTGTGTATGCAGTTTGGAGAAAAAAATCATATGTAAGTTAAATGAAAATTAAGACTGCAGTACATGTATTATCAAAAGTAATTGGCAGAATAGGAATTTGAAAACATTGAAACATAATCACGTTAACATAGGTTAAATATAATTCTTATTTTTCAGGGGAACCTGATGGATGCTGACAACCCAGCCACTGGAATAGGGGCCTTCCGTTTTATGTTGGAAGCCAACAAAGGAAGAACAATGCTAGAATTCCAAGAACTCATGACAGTCTTTCAACTCCTTCATTGGAATGGCAGTCTCAAAGCCATGCGTGATAGAAACTGTTCTCGACAGGAAGTACTGGCTCATTATTCACACCGTTCCCTTGATGACGACATGAGGTCACAGATGGCGCTGGATTGGATCGCCCGGGAACAGGAAACTGCCGGAATTATAAGACATGAACTTCAAATTGCGGAACGTGAACTTGAGAGTGCCAGACTTGCTGGAAGGGAGTTAAGAGTCTTCAAAGAGAAAAGGGACATCTTAGTGTTAGCTCTCAGTCAGATTGGTCCAGCAGAAAGTCTAGCTTAATAATTACAAGTATTTCTTTTTGTTGAAAACACTTTATTTGTAGACAGGGAAAATGTTTCACATTGCTATAAATGAGAACCTATGACATAAATTTTAAACATCTGGTTATACATTTATTAAATGAAAAAAAAGTGAAGATAAAAATTGACAAAACAGTACATTGTACACATGTTTTAACAACTTCCAAGGCCATTTTTGATTGAAGTAGTATTTACAGTCATGATTTGTATAATTTTAATTTTTGAAAAATATATATTTTCAATTCTATAAATGTAAATACATTGTGGCTTTATTATCCTTTGTCAAAATTTACACTCAGTCTATTAACTGGATTGTTAATTTTCAACTCAAATGGCCAAAGACCCACTAAAAATTTCCGTGAAAATGTTTTGATTTAATTTCAAAGACAAATTGAGAAACATAAGGATACATATGTTTCTGAAAATTCAAAGCTAAAAAACATACATGTATATCAAGTCCAGATGTAACTTTACCACTTTTTTTTTTAGTACAAACCTGTATATCTACAGCCTCAATAGAGGCATGGTTAGTTACATGTATGATATTGAATCTCACTTTTTGTAAATATTTGGCCAACATGACAGTGGTCTTTCATCTAATTTTCATATGCTTAAATTTAAGCATAAAATTGTACAGAAGTTAATGTATAGGAAGTACATGGAGTCTTTTGCTATTTCATTTCTAGATTTCACTGTAATTTTTTTTTAGAAACCATTTGATTTGTTTTTAATCAAATAGATTTTAATTGTTTAATTTTAGTGCAATATGTATGTCATTGTAACCAGGAATTGCATTTCTTAAATTGTATTATATATGGAAAGCACAAAGAAGCTAAAATATGAATTTACTTCACAAAATTATTTGTGTTGTCCTTGAGTAAAATGTTATGTGCATTTGACACATAAGTTCATGCTTTTTACATGTGCTTATTTGTTAGATGGCCTATCTCTCTCTCTCTTTCTCTCTCTGATTTTGTGTTGTGTTAAACATAGATAATACTGCATGTATTTTGAGGATTGGGTATTGATTTTCATGAAGGTATTTTGATAAGAATTTCAGGCTATAAGATGCCTGATCTATCAGGTAATGGCAAACAGTGAGACTGTCTCCTCATTGGGAGCATAGAGGAAGTCATCATAATAGTGTAAAACAGTGTATATTTTTACCTTTTCATGTAAATCAGAGGTTGTTTAAATGTTCATTGAGATTTAAGTTTTCTTGTGGAAGTTACATGTATATGTCTTTAATTGAACTTTATATGTCTTTTAATTAACATTGTGAACATATTTTGAATGGTATATGTAAAATGCTTATAATTCTTATTCAAGACCTAATTTGCTTTCAAATCTCAACTAAGTCTTAGAAGAAAATGTCTGAGTTGTATCTAACTGTAAGTTACGTATTTGTTAATATAAGTGAAAGGTATATATGTACATAAAAAACTTTCACATCAATTTGATTGTTACAAGGAAATACCAATACTGCATAAAACATGCGATTTTTTTTTTACTCTATTAAAGTTGAATCTGATTATTTTCTATATGTATAAAACTTTTGAGATTCATAATTTGAAAAAAACATTGAAATTTATAAAAAAAAAAATTTGTAAAACTATGTACATTAAAATTTGAGAATTTAATTATTTTTTTCCCTATAAATTTTGTAAAGCTATGTACCTGAACTTACTGGTTGTTTTGTTATTCTGCTTATGTGATCATATTACTGTTGTGATTTTTTTCTTCCGTTTTTGTACAGCTCACATTTTTTTTTGGCACATTTAGTTAATTTTATGCATAATATATGAAATATATTTCAATAAAGAGATGAAACTTTTCATACATTAGGCTAATTCTTTACATCTTAAATTTTGAGGGTCTGTTGACAAGGACATGTTTTATGATATATTTATTATAGTGTAAAAATTTGGGGGATATTTCAAAAAAAATAGTAAATGCCAAAGATCATATGGTGTAAGGGAGATGATCGCAATGTCATTAAAAGTTATCTTTCTTGGCATGCGTCAAAACCGCCACGTCGTCTGTTAGACGGCGCTGTCATTCAACATGGCGTCCTCCTTGAGAGAACGACAAATTTCAGCTCTGAAACGTATGTTGAATTTTAATGTACCAGCTACCAAAGCTACCACAACAGAACCACAATGGAAAGTGTTGGTTTACGACAGATTTGGTCAGGATATAATTTCACCTCTTTTAACGGTGAAGGAACTCCGGGATATGGGTGTAACTCTTCATCTAAAACTGCACTCTGAGCGTGATCCTATACCAGACGTACCGGCAATCTACTTTGTGATGCCGACAGACGACAACATTCGCCGGATCGGGCAAGATTTCCAGGGTCAGTTGTATGAGACATACTACCTGAACTTTATATCGGCTATTTCTCGTCAACGACTGGAAGAAATAGCCAGTGCTGCCATTCATAGCAACTGTGTATCACAAGTAGCGAAAGTTGTTGACCAGTACCTAAATTTTATATCATTAGAAGATGATATGTTTACCCTCCGTCATCAAGATAGAGACAGCATATCATACTATGCGCTAAACAAAGGCGATGTGAAAGACACAGAAATAGAACAGATAATGGACACAATTGTAGACAGCTTATTTTCTGTGTTCGTGACCCTAGGGTCGGTTCCAATTATTCGGTGTCCAAGAGGAAATGCAGCAGAAATGGTGGCGGAAAAACTAGACAAGAAGCTTCGAGAGAACATCAGAGATGCACGAAGTAGTTTTTTCACGAGTGACAGTATGCAAGCTGGACAGTTTTCTTTTCAGCGTCCATTGCTTGTTCTACTTGATCGTAATTTAGATTTGGCGACAATGCTGCATCACACCTGGACTTACCAAGCACTCAGTCATGATGTGTTTGATCTACAGTTAAATAGGTAGTTTAGTTTCTTGGTAAAGTGGTTTAACAAATTGTATTAAATTGCTCCAGCGTGTTCAGGATCGTGAAAAAGATCAACTTCCAAGTTGCTCTATTGATAAATTAATTGATGGTTACACTTGAGCTGTGTGTAACCTTTTTATCAACAAATTTAAATTTGTGCATGCACATTTGCACATAACTGATTTCAAAATAAATGAATTTAGAAATATTTTATATGATAAAGTGATAGTGTGCTGCATGGCATACAGATGAGATAAATTTGTTATGACTGGTTCTTACAAGGACTTTCAGATAGTGTTACTTGGAGAGATTGTAAAACAATCTAGCTAGGAAAATTCAATCTGTCTATTCATACATGTATTCTAATTGAACTTGTTTTGACAGAGTTGAAATTGAGGAGTCCATTGAGTCTAAGATTCCATCAGGTGGTGTTGTAAAGAAGAAGAAGTCATATGATCTGCAGCCCTTTGACAGATTCTGGCAGGCAGAAAAAGGAAGTCCATTCCCAGCAGTAGCCGAGGCAGTCCAAGTAGAACTGGATTCTTACAGGTAACATTCTGTTTGTTTGTGTTCATTTTTAGGGAACTCACCACTCTTGTTAAAACAGACCAATGTGAATCCTCATACAATTTTCCACTTAATTCAGTGTTTTGTAATTGGATATAGAATTTGTTACTTGAGTGAAATTCCATATTCAACTACTTATTATTGCATTTTCTGTTTATTACATTTTCTTTCATTTTCCCTTTGCCTGTCTGTTGTAGACTTTGCCATCATCATTTAGAACTGAGCCGACATACATGATCATACATGTTATTGTATTTAGAGAAACTATTGCTATATAAATCTGGTTTATTTACTCTTATGACTGGCCAGGGAGTTTTATTTTTAAAACAATACTCTTCATGAAGGGAAGTAAAATTGAGAATTCTCTGCACCTCTGATATTCTTTCACAGTGCAAAAAATTATCATCTTGATGGTCTTTTGCATTGTATCAAAAATCACTGCTTTTAAGTAAATGAATTACATTATTTCTTTGTTGAAAGTTCATTAAAATAATAATTATATAAAATTATTGTTTATTTAACAGGACACAGGAGGGGGAGGTAAAGAAGCTGAAGGCTGCCATGGGTATAGAAGGTGAGGATGAGTCAGCCATCAGTATGTTGTCAGATCACACAGCAAAGCTGACATCCACGGTAAGCTCCCTCCCAGAACTCCTGGAGAGAAAGCGATTGATCGACCAACACACCAATATAGCCACAGCCTTGCTGGAGCAAATCAAAGCCAGAAAACTGGATGTATACTTTGAAACGGAAGAAAAATTGATGGGAAAGTCAGTCCTTGATCAATCCCTGATGGACATTATAAATGACCATGAATCAGGAACCCCTCAGGATAAGGTCAGATTGTTCATCATTGCATTACTGTGTGGACCACCTATGTCTGACGCAGAGATCGATCAATATCTCATAGCTTTAACGGGTGCCAACTGTGACACTTCTGCCATCAGCTACATCCGAAAATGGAAGGCGTATACTAAAATGACGGCTGTTCCAAGTCAGTATGCAGGTGGAGGTACCAAAACAGTGGGTATGTTCTCCAAATTGATGAGCACAGGATCACAGTTTCTGATGGAGGGAGTGAAAAACTTAGTCATCAAAAAGCATAATTTACCAACAACAAGAGTTGTGGATGCTTTAATGGACATGAAATCTCTGCAGGATGTGGATGACTTTCGGTACTTTGATCCCAAACTTCTGCGATTCGATTCCTCAGCGATACCGAGAAATAAATCACCATTCCAAGAAGCTTTTGTGTTCATGGTAGGAGGAGGTAACTACATTGAATATCAGAATCTAGTGGACTACGCTAAAAACAAATCCAGCACAGGTGCTCCACGTAAAGTAGTGTATGGATGCAGTGATCTGACCAATGCTACACAGTTCTTAAGACAGCTGGAGAGGCTGGGCTCAGAGAATTAATACAGGATTCAGTGTTAATACATGTATTGTAAATTAAGGATACATATTTATTGTTTTTATTATGTACAGTTTAAATTATCATGGTATATGTTTAGAAACATTGTGAAAGTTTATGCTTTATTTTTTTCTGACATAAAAACTATTTTTCATGTAATTTTTGGCTGTGAACATCATTTGCAACTACCGTTACCTTGTCCATTGAATTCGATTGAGATTAGATACTTGAATATTGTGGAGAACAAGTTTAATTGTTGATGAACATAATTAAAGGAATTCTTTTTACTATGTTTGCTAAATGTAGTTGTTTTAAACCCAAACAGCAACTGCATTCTGTTCTGACAGGGTTTATTTATAATTATTGTGACATTGCTGCTATGTGAGCACGCATGCAAAAAATTAATTTGATAAAGTGCAGAATGAATAATAAAATGAAAATATGAATCATTGACTTTGAAACAATTCTTTCATTCAGTATTTAAGTCTAACCTCCAATATATATTAAAATTAAAAATAAATTACAAATCTAAACAATATTATATTTAGAATTTCAGTTAAACTATAAATAATTGGGCAGAAAATTCAAACAATACTGTCAATCAGTAGTACAGTGGCAATATTCTGCTCAAGTTCTAGAGAGAATTTTTGTTTCATTTTGTCATTGTTTCTTATCCAATCTTCTATGGTAACATACATGTATGTTGTTTAACAATTATTGAATATATCGTCATTCGGTACATCAAATTTATTGTTATAGTTATACATTTAAAAATTTGTTCCTATACAGATCTATTCGAAAAAAAGTCTAATATTTCTAATGTTTTGCTGAGCAGGCATTAAAAAATCGATGTTTGACTGCTGAGTGAGATGTTGGACCAGTCAATGAGATGTTGTACCACTTGCGTCACAGAATGGGCAGAGCTTAATCTCATTTTCATGTGTTGGTGTTCAGCTGTGATGGACCTGATGTTACATTATGGAAGACAGTACAAAATACATGTTTGCTATATAAAATAAAATATAATTAAATAAAATGAAAGGTATAACAAAACATTTATTGATTGAGTTCTCGGGCAAAATGTGTTTTGTCGACCCTCGAACCAAATTGTGTGCCTGAGGCCTAATGGCCTCAGGCAGACAGTTTGGTTCTTGGGTCCGACAAAACGCATGTTGCCCTCGAACTCTGTCAATAAATGTATAAAATTTTTCCTGAGGTGTTTGGAACAGCTCAATATTTCCTTTTGCCTGAGACCAGTAGCCAAGGGCTATAGAACACATTGAGCTTTTTTAGGACCAAGGAAAAATGAATGATCAGACATTGAATAAGTATTATAAAGATTATATTGGACCTGCAAGGCTGAAATTCTCCATATATTGGCTGGGAGTCCAATAGATTGTGGTCCAGAATTCACCAATTGACCAGCAGGCCAGAATTGAGAAAAGTTGAAAGTAGTGGGGAAAAAATACTGCATTCAAACAAAATCTGCTGTACAAGCTAGATAATACATGTACATACTTTGTTACAAGTACACTACTTTATAGTTTATCTTGTCTTAATAGGATAAGTGGTAATTTGGAAATTATCTTAGTAAATTAGTAACAGAGTTTAATTAGAAAAGATTTTATTTCTTGAAAGCACAAGGTATTCTTTTGATGAAGAAATATCACTCACTGGTGAATTTTATTCTCTTTGGTTGAGTTAAATAAGTCTCATGTCAACAAATGTCGCATCTTATATGATGTCAAGTACTGGCTTTGGTAAGTAAATATATATATCAATATTGAAATCAAATTCTCTAAAAGGATTGGTATTTGACGTACGATTACATGTCGACATAATTATTCTGCATGCACGTCAGCGTAATCATTTTTCATGTTGACGTGTTATTTTCTGGCAAATTGACATAATTTACATTGCATGTTGGAAGAAATATGCTACCATA